TTAAAGTTTTAGCTCGGTCCTATAATAACATTTAATAATCACAATTAAGTTGGAGGAGGCTTTTGCCAATACTAATTATAATCAGTTATTTAAGTTGGATATAATCTAACTATTTGCAATGGAAATAAAGGACTGTTTATTCTAGTTGTCTTCAGACAGGTCTCAGAACACGTCTATCTAAAGAAGAAAACTGTCTGCCAAACCCTCATTCAGCTTAAGAGGAACTTGTTCCTAAAGGTTTAGACTTCTCTTTTCAAGTTTCAGAAACTGACTCTTTGGCATCCTTGAGACCTCTGTCCCTGAAACCTTGCCATTATCTACGGTTCTGGTATCCTAAAAGTGTGTTCTTTCCCATGTGATGGCTCACCAGAACCCATTAGCTCACTCCCTAGAACTGGGACTCACCAAAATAATCATAAGACCATTACCACCACTATTCCATACTTTCCAAAATTACACCCGCTGCCCATCACCAAGGGAAAACAAAAATCGATGGAACTGAAAGAGAAACAGCGGCCCAGGACAGTGCCTTACATGCAGCACACCTTCTTATGACTTCGACCCACCTTTCTTTTTACTGCCTGGCTTTACTAAAATATACACTCTGTGGAGGCAGGCTCTTTGACTGCTGCAAACATCTGTACCCCAAACCAGGTATAACTTCGATAAATACCTGTTAAACAACCGTGTAAATCTGCCATTCAACGTAAGCATCAGATTTAAAAAAAATCTCAGGTCATGATCCTCTTGACACATCCTTATAAAGCCGGTCTGTCTAAAGGACAAAGTCCGACAACACAAAGCACACATACCCTTCCAAATCAGATCCTGACTACCCTGTCGGCCTTATCAGCTACCCACCCTCACACATTCAACAAACGCTTCCAGATGCATCAAAACACACAGACATCTCCAAACTTTTGATGACTGTTCCCTACTCTGTGGAGACTTGTTCTTCCCTCTCCCTGGGAAGAAACTTAGATCTTAGCTTCCTTAGCTTCCACGGTCCAATTTAAATGCTTTCAGTTACACACCCAACTGTGGGCCACCTTCCTCCCACATGCACTCCAGAGGAGTTTGAACTGCCAGCCTGTATTGTGTGCACCCTAACACTGTAGAGCCCGGGGGTTTTCCTTTAGATCTCAGTAGTGCAGGCCCCTGGCTTTATCGAGCCTGCAGGCCGAGGTAATCGGGAGAGTCTGGGGGACATCACTCCACCCTTCTTGGCGACGGAGCCCCCCGGACTGTCCTCACAGGGCGAGCGACGGCGGGGCGGGGCGGGGCCGAGCGGAGCGGAGCCGTACCTGTCTCACGTTAGCAGGCAACTTGCTCCAGGGGTAGTTGTGTCGGATGTGGAACTCCACGTCGATGTTCATGATGCCGGAGCCCAGGCCAGCCGTGGCCGCGGCTCCTGCCACGCCGCCTCCCGCCCGCACGCGCCCGGCCCGTCAGCGGAGCCCGCGGGAGGCCGCACGCCTAGGCCGCGCGAGCCCGGCGCCGCCCCATAGCCAGGCCTCCACAGCTCCGCCCGGCGCCGGCCACGGGGCAAGGTGGCAGCGACTACGGCCCGTCCCCTCCCTCCTGCAGCCCCAAGTTTCTTCCTAGTTTCGGCCTGCCGGAAATGGCTCCTCGCTGACGTCACTTCCGCCCGCCAGCGCGGGGCGGGGGCGGAGCTCCGGCGGGGCCCGTCCCGCCCCCTGCACGTGGTTGAGCGGCGCGAGGAGGGCGGGGCCCGGAGCCCCCGCCAGCTGCTCCTGTTTCGCGGTCCCTGGAAGAACAAAGTCGCAGCGATCTGCGCCGCTGGCGCTGTGTGACTCAGTTTCCCCGATGTGAGTTCCCCGTGGCACTGGACAGGCGGCTAAAGGCACGGCGGTCGGCTGTCTGAGCAAAAGCGCGGCTAGTGGGAAGGACTACCCTGGCCGCCCCGCCGCCGAGCAGGGCAGGGTCTCGGAGAGTGTGACGCGGCGTCTGCCCACCCATTGGGCGGGCGTCGCTGGCGGCGTCATCCCTTCCAAGCATTGCCTGTATCCTGGGGGATGGAGAACGTTGGACTCCTTCCAAGATCCAAATTCTTAAGACGTGGCGATGGGAGGGGGGGAGCAGAAACTTGAACGAGCTTCGACCGCTTTTTAAAGGCGGAACTCGGGTGTTACCCCTTCCGCTCTCCTCAAGTCTTTGGGAATGGTTTCTTCCCGAGTGGGTTGTGCTTCCTGAGCAAGCGCATTGATTACTGGCAACACCAAGACACAAGTTCTGTGTTTCTGTGTCTGTTTTGTTTTGTTTTTTCATTTTAAAGCTATGTTTTTAAGTCATGTTTCGTTATACACTACATATACGAACTGAGAACATGTAAGACACTTAATCCATACCTCAGCAGCTGACAAGTCTGAGGCATACTCAGTTTTTTCCTTTCGTTTTTCTTTATTAAGAAATTTTCTACTCACTCTACATACTATCCACAGATCCCCCCCTCCTCCCTCCTCCCACTCCCCAGCCCTTTCCTAAGCCACCCTGCATCCCCACATCCCCCAAATTGAGGTCTCCCATGAGGAGGCAGCAAACAGCCTAGGCAGGTCCAAGCCCCTTCCCACTGCACCAAGGCTGTGCAAGGTGTCACACCACAGGCACCAGGTTCCAGAAGCCTGCCCATAGACCAGGGACAGATCCTGATCTCCCTGCCTGGGTGCCCCCAAACAGTTCGAGCCAAACAGTCGTCCTCCGTATCCAGAGGGCCTACTCCAGTCCCATGGGGGCTCCACAGCCACCAGTCCACAGTTCATGGGCTTCCACTAGTGTGGCCAGTCATCTCTGCACATCCTCCCATCATGATCTCGAAGTCCCTCACCTGCAGTATCTCTCCTCTCTCTCATCAATTGGATTCCCGGAGCTTAGCCTGGTGCCTGGTTGTGGATCTCTGTATCTGCCTCCATCAGTCACTGGACAAAGGCTCTATGATGACAGCTAGGTTATTTGCTAGGCTGGTCACTAGAGTAGACCAGTCCAGGCACCCTCTGGACCTCTGCCAGCAGTCCAAGGTGGGGTCAACCTTGTGGATTCCTGAGAGCCTCCCCAGCACTCTGCCTTTTCCTATTCCTGTGATGTCCTCATCTATCATGGTATCTTCCTCCTTGCCCTCCCACTCTGTCCCTGTTCCAGCTCAACCCTCCCATTTCCCTATGTTCTCATCCCCCACTCCTCGCCCTCTGCCACACCCCCACACCCAGTCCACTCATGTAGATCTCCTCCACTTCTCCTTCACAGGGTCATCCATGTGTCCCTCCTAGGGTCTTTCCCTGTTAGCTAGGCTCTCTGAAGCTGTGGGTTGCAGTCTGGCCATCCCTTCCCTCACATTTAGTATTCACTTATGAGTGAGTACATACTATGTTTGTCCTTCTGAGTCTGGGTTACCTCACTCAAGATGATATTTTCTAGTTCCATCCATTTGCCTGCAAATTTTATATCATTGTTTTTTACTGCTGAGTAGTACTCAATTGTGTATATGTGCCATATTTTCTTTATCCATTCTTCAGTTGGGGGGCATCTAGGTTGTTTCCAGGTTCTTGCTATTACGAATAATACTGATATGAACATAGTTAAGCATGTGTCCTTGTGGTAAGATTGAGCATTCCTTGGGTATATGTCCAAGAGTGGTATAATTGGGTCTTGAGGAAGACTTAGTCCCCATTTTCTGAGAAACCGCCATACTGATTTCCAGAGTGGCTGTACAAGTTTGCATTCCCACCAACAGCAGAGGAGTGTTCCCCTTGCTCCACATCCTCTCCAACATAAGCTGTCTTCAGTGTTTTTTATCTTAGTGAGGCATACTCATTATGTCTAATTAATTGAAACTGTTGTGGTACACACTGCTCTTACATCGGTGTATTGCTCTCCTCGACATAGCTAAAACTTACTGAACTCCAACAATGGCACAGTATACAAAAGTACAACCTACTATGTATCAATTCCTTAGCCTGGCAATAGATTGTCATCTCTCACCATGCTGTGAAAGATTGTCACAGCAATTAGCCCTATTAGAAGAAATAGGCGTGGCAGGGTTATATGACTAGTTCACAAGATTGCTCAGTGTAACAGGGCCCAAGGTGGTGGGGAGTTAATATTTATTGTTTAGGTATAAGAGTGTTTTGTCTGCATGTATGCATGTGCACCACTTGTGTGCCTTGTGCCTTTGGAGGCCAGAAGAGGGTATCAGTTATGTCAGAACTGGGTTGCAGACAGCTGTGAACCTCCACCTGGGTGCTGGGAACTAAACCCAAGTCCTTCACAAAAGCAGCAAGTGATCTTACATGCTGAGCCATCTCTCCAGGCCCAGCCCAAGGCTGTTTTAATAGATCCACCCTTTGAATTTCCCAGGGACAGCCTTCACAGAAGTATTTTGCCTCCTACTCTAGCTTAGGAAAGTGCACTTCGAGTCACTGACTTAAATTCCCCTCTACATTTTACGTGATTCTACATGTGGACCAAGCAGTATTCTTCAAAATCTTTTTATCTAGTACAATGTAAGTAGTAACAAGAAAATTAAAGACGTCTTCGTTTTAAAATCCCTACAAATCTTTATTTCCACTGCTGATGACAGTTAAAGCTGGTGTGAACCTATTAAGTTTTTCTTTTTTGTTTTTCAAATAATATTAAATCTGACTTGGACTCAGCAGAAGCTAGTTATGGTAAATGGATGCCTGCTAAATCAGTCAGGTACAGACCTTTGAAAACTTTACCACAGTGACTTATAAAGGCTCTCAGTATATAGCCCCCCAAAAAGCAGAAGTTCAAAGCAATAGTAGGTCAAAGCTGTGTGGACAAGAAGAAGACAAACAGCAGTTCCTTCAGGAGTAGCAATAGTTCAGTTTATGAATATACAAGAGGCTAGTGGAAGGGCTGGACTGACTCCATTTCCCTCAAGGTGACTGGGAAACAAAGCAGTTCTGGTCATTCTTAAACTAACCCATAAGGCCCAGCAACTGCTGTGTGGAAACACCAGCAACAAGACAGCAATGTTAGGATCTTGTACATGCGCAGCTTGGGGTCTGGCGTCTAACGTCATCAGTGGGTATGAGCGACTATGTACCTACCTTAAAAAGCCGGAGGCAGGTCCCCCCTCTCCCCCAGTCTCTCTCTGCTCTCCTCCCCGTTTCCCTCCCCCACCAGGCCTGGCTCACCTCTTTCTCTCTCTTCCCCACCTTTCCCTCCTAATAAAGCTCTAAAATCACCACTGGGTTCTGTCGTGATCATGACCTTTCCGCCACCAACCAGCACCATTTAACTATCATTTGGTGCCGTGACTTGAGCTCCCTAGGCATCAGGAATGAAAAAAACAAACAACAAACAAACAAAACCACCTACTAAATGGGTTCCATGGACAGCGCTGGTGACTTCATTGGTCCTTTTTGGAAAACAATAATACCCATTCTTTTAAGTTCCTGACTTGGGCCTCTGCCCATTTACTATTTCAAATTCTAGAGAGATCTGAAACTACAGAGTGTTGTTGCAGGACCCATTCTACAAGCTACCTTCCAAAGACACCTTCTGGGTAAACAATAGGTTCAGACATGTAAACGAGGTAAGCTGCCTTCTCAACCAGCTATACTAGATCTAATAAAGGAAAATTAACCAACTGGCTTGAGCAACTTGAGATTGTTTTTTAAAAGTAATGATAATAGCTGGGCAGTGGTGGCACACGCTTTTAATCCCAACACTCAAGAGGCAGAGGCACTAGGAGCTCTGAGTTCAAGGCCAGCCTGATCTACAGAGTGAGTTCCAGGACAGCCAGGACTGTTACACAGAGAAAACCTGTTTTGGGGTGGGGGGAGGGGAATAGTGGTAGACCTCATGTGGTTCAGCCTGGTCTTGAACTCACTATGTAGCTCAGGTCGTTGAACTTCTGATCCTCCTGTCTTTGCCTCTCTCGCACTGGGATTACAGGCGTGTGACTCCATACCTGTCCTGGCAGTCTACTCTTTAGAAAGACTATCCAGTTATTTTGTTCCCAACATTTCAACAGAAATAATGAGAAGCAGCAAGTTTTAACTGAGGAGCAGTTGGAGAATCCCACTCACAGACCCCAGATTAGCGTGCCCTATGGCTCCCAAAGATGCCCATGTCTAGGACCTAGAGGTGCTTCCTTTGTGACAGTTGATTAAATGAAGATACACTTAAGACAGGGAGATTATCTGGAGCTATCTAAATAGGCATAGGGTCATCACAGGGCCCTAGGAAAGCAGAGTCTGAGTTAAAGAAGGGATGAAGGAATGATGGAAGGGAAATGAATGAATGATGGAAGGGGAGTGAATGAACTATGGAAGTGAGTGAATGAATGATAGAAGTGGGAGTGAGTGAATGATAGAAGGGGGAGTGAATGAATGATGGAAGGGGGAGCCAGTGATTTGGGATCACAGCCCAGGCTGTGAAAAGCTACTAGGAGCTGAAAAAGGAAATAAATTCTCCCCTAAACCTCAAGAACCCTACCAAAACATTTGAGTTTCCAGCCTCCTAGTCTATAAGATAATAGCTTCTTAATTCCAAGCTTCTAATGTGGTGATTTGTTACAAGAGCAACAGGACATGACTATACTCTCCCAACAAAATACTTGTGAGTGGCGTTCCTGGGCCCTGATCTGCCAAGATGCTCTTTCGATGCTGAACCCTAACAGTACTCCCATACCCAAACAAGTGATGTATAAAAATTTATAATTACAGTCCTCCAGTTCAAAATGCAAAAATACCCTTTGGAGGAGTAATCCTTTCTTAGCATTAATATTTGAGGAACAAATTAGTTATCATATCATATCCTTTTCAGAGAGTAATTTGAAAGAAAAAAATACTCAGGGGTTAAATGGGGGTCAGGAAATAGTTTCTAAGAAAGAAGGAAGCCACTGTGTGCTGTGGGATGTTAATGTATGTCCTGTGGGAGCCCTTCTTGGGTTCCTTGTGGCGTTACCCAGCAGGTTTGCATAGAGGATGAT